TAAGCAAAGTAACAGAGACTCGGCAGGGGGTGGGGGGGAACGATGCATATTCTCCCTCATATGTGGATCCTAGCACCAAATCCTTATAACTGAATATGTATCCAGACATAACTGCAGAACCCAGAATAATAAAAAGGAACTGGGGAGGTAAAGGGAAAGAAAGAACCTGAGAGAGAACAGTAGGAAACAGGTGTTACCAAGGAAGAAATGGATAAAAGTGGACTATTTAAATGGGAGGGGGGAGGGAAAGTTATACAAAGAACCTTGGGGATAAAGGGAAAGAAGGAGCTCAAGAGAGGTGGGACCATAGGAGACTGGGTACTATCAAGGGAGAAATGGGGAAAATGGGGAAACCTTAAATGCAGAATCCATGGCAGAAGGATCAGAGAGAGAGAAGAGAGAGAGAGAGAGAGAGAGAGAGAGAGAGAGAGATGAGAGATAAATAATGCCTAGCTAGCTTTAAAAAACAAGAGGGAATCCTATTACTCCAACAACCTAATGACAAATTACATATACATTATCTCTACATGAGTCCATGTGTATAGCAAAAGGCTATATAACAAGAAATAATGCCAGACAGGAGAACTCTTCCTTAGAGTTGTTGACCAGGGTGGTCCAAGAGCCTCCCAGTATTACTCAGGCCATTACCACAACCCTTGGTGGCCTCCCAGAACTTGAAGGTAAGACCCTACTGCTGAAGACAGAACACACTTCAGACAAAGGATTTGGAGTAATAGAGCTACAACTGACCTCAAACCACTTCCCCTAAAGGCTAGCTCTCATGACTTGGGAGAGCGCTATGAAGGTGCTAAGGGAAAGCATCAATCAATGGTCCACCACCAGCTTCAAGACCAAATAACCACATCAATGACTGACACAGCCAACAACATTGGTGCAGTAGTGGCACTTTTATCTTGGGGTCAATCAACAGCTACCTAATTGGACTAAAAGCCCACTCAATGGGAGGAAACTCAAGTGTAGTACTGTAAACATAAACAAATACACGTGACTGGAGAGGTCATAGATCTTAGAGAAAACCCCAAGACTGTCACATCCCCAGACTAATGTGATTTCTTACTATGTGCAAAATATGTATCCTTGTATTTACAGACAAATATCCCAGTCACCACCCATCAAAGAAGCTCATTTTGCACCAGTTGGAACCTATTACTAAGTACCACAACTGGTCATACACAGACATTGTATATGAATTACCCAGGCCTAGGTGACACATCTACAATGCAAGCTCTACAGCTAAGGCTCATGAAACATAGAACAGGGGTAAAGAAGAGGGCATTAATGAATCTCTCAGTTCTCATTAATGAAGTTCCCTCATGCAGCGGAGGGCCAGGAACAAAAAAAGGTCACAAATGGCCAAAGCATAGAGATCAAAAGTCTGCTGAATATTGGTCCTTGGACAGGGCTCCTTTATTAAACTTCACCCACCCAAGACTCAGGGGCCATCGAGGAAGAGGGGGCAGAAAGATTGTAAGAGCCAGGGAGGAGGTGCAGGACCATTTGGAAACAGAGTCCGACAAGCTCCTAGGAACGTGCCCGTATGATTCTATGGCAATGGAATCAGCATACACAAGTCTCATGCAAACTCAGGCAGACAATAACCCAGCAAAGAACTGGGAAAATGAACAGCAGACCCCAATCTTATCTGAGGAAATACTGGCAACTGATTGATGCTGGGTGAAGAAGAGCTGATCTTCCTTAAACAAGGGACTCTAGCTGACTAAACCTCAGTGGATGGACTTGCTCTGGTGAATGTCTGTGGATACTGACGTCACACAGTGGGCCTTAACAGGGATGACAGAGGATATGGGCTCCAGTGTGGGGGGCTATGAGAGGGTGTCAGTGGCGATGGGGGTATAAAGATGATTAAGAATGTTTGAGATGTTCTGTATGAAATACACAAAAATTCAATTAAAACAAAGTTTAAAAAAAAGAAAATAGAGTTCCCAAAAATCAGATATTTCTTTTACATAAATTTCAATAAGTTTCTTAAAAACGTTTTCTAATAAAATAATAGATGAGAAGAAAGAAGTCACTATTCAATATAATATTATCTTCAGATTGAAGTTCAAAACAATTTACTTCATCTTCAAAATTTAGAAGCACATCACAGGAGGCAAGATAGAACTGTTCCCCAAAACCTGACTCATAAGACAATAAACTCACAGATGTATAAAATGAAAAAAATTAACTAACAATAGTGTGATACAACTTCTGGCTAACAGACCCAAAGAAGTTACACAGAAAGTACCAACAATCTCAAAATAAAATTGAGAGACCACTAAATCTGTGACCTGAAACCAAACACATCTCGAGATAGGCAGAGAAATTCATTTCTAATTTGGGATAGCCTCCAAGCAATCCCCAACAATATGTGTGTTTGCTTGTGCACACATGTGTATATGTGTGTGTATGTGTAGTGTGTTTGTGTGTATGTGTGTGTGTGTTCGTAGGAATTGAACTCAGTGCCTTACATGCTAAGTAAGTGCTTCACGATGGAACTACAGCCCCAGCTCTCTAATTTTGTTTTTATTTTTTACTTATTTTGAGACAAAGCCTCACTAAGCTACCCAAGGTGGCCTGAACCCACTCTGTAGCCCAGGCTGACCTCAAACTTGGCATCTTCCTGCTTCATCCACTTAAGTAGCTAGGATCACTGGTCTGTGCTACCAGGCCTGACTGAAATTGACATATTTTTAATTGCAATGAATTTTGAGTGATCATTGTCAATGAGCTGGGTGATTAAAGTGTTTATCACATCACTAGGGAGGTTGAGGCAGGGATATTTGAATTCAAAATAACATACATGGTAATTTTTTCTCCTGTATTTTGGCATAACTAATTTTTAATTAGAACTTTTTATTTAAAAATATGTTTAAAGAAATATCCTTGGGAAACTAATGAATTCACTGAACACTGTTGGGAAAATGACTCCTTTCTTGAACATGCCGTAAAAAAATCAAACACAGGGCTGTTATGTCAGAAAAATTATAATCATTACTCTCCAAAACCCCACTTGTAATGATTATTAATTAAAAATCAATTCAATTTTATGATTAAATGCTATATTTTATTAAAATTGGTGTATCAAAAAAAAAAACTCTAAGGGCTGGAGAAATGGCTCAGCACTTAAGGGCAAGGGCTGCTCTTGCAGAGGACCTGTGTTCAATTCCCAACACCCACATGGAGGCTAACAACCTCTAGTAACTCCAGTTCCAAAGAATCTGATGCCCTTTTCTGTGTATTGCATGACACGAGTACATAACATACATGCAGGCAATACATTCATACATGTAAAATCAAAATAATAAAATATTTTTAAAAAACCTAAATAATGGGGACTGGAGAGATGGCTCAGCAGTTAAGAGCACTGGCTGCCCTTGCAGATGACCTAGATTCAATTCCCTGCACCCATATGGCAGCTGACAACTGTCTCTAAATCCAGTTCCAGGGAATCCAGCGACATGAGTGCACTTATACACACACAGGCACATACAAAATTAAATAAATAAATAAATACCTTAAAATGAATCTCTTAGACATAAAGAAGGGTGATAACATAATGGTAGCTTTTTATGAACCTGCCATACCTTCCACCACTGCCACAGCACCCAAAATTGACACCATCTCCCCTCCCAGATTCCCCGTGGAGCTGATGGCCCTGCCTCTGCCTCAGATGTTCCAGTCATCTTCAGGCCTTATTTCTCCTTTCCAAAATGAAAACATTAGGTCAGCATGATCGTATACATCCTTTATGGCTCAAACATTCTAAAATTCCATCATTGTTGCAAATGTCTACCCTGATCCCTGAGTTTAAGTCTCTGTTTCACAGATTTAAAAATTAGTGTCTGGTTTAACCAATGATTTCTAGAAATATGTATGTACGGTCAAAATACACGGGTTTTTTTTTTTTTTTTTTTCGTCCCCCCTTGGGGAACGATTTTACATATAGTTGAAGCAATTTCAAGAAAACTAATCAGTATTCAAGAGAGCCATTTCTTTCCCCCAGAGAGAATTAATCACAGCCAAGGACTGGAAAAGACGTTTTCCCAGATGAAGCTCAAGTCTGCTCCCACTGAGAAACCCATTCTATTTTAATTTGCCAATAAAAAATGGCCTGGGAAATCTCAGTCTGTCATTATCTCATTAAAAATACATACTTGTCACTCCCTTTCCTCACTCTAGGAAATTAACACTCAGGCAGCCCAGTGGCTCCCTGCAATTTAATGTCACATCACCCTGAAAAGATTAGCTTTATCTGGGATCAGTGGAGGATAGTATTTTCTGCAGTTAATAATTGCCACAAGTTCTACACAACTCCAGTCACTAAGTCTGTGGATAAATTATTGGCTATTTGCCACATCTGCGAAATTTACTGAGCATTGAGAAGAGTATTGCTTTCAGCAAATCAATGGCCACAATCTTTGGAAAAGAAAGTCTTATTCCAGGTCTTTTAACCCCCTCCCCAAAACACACACACTCCTAACAGCATCTTTAGATCCTATTTGGCTCTTGTTTTTGACCCTCCCTCTATGTCATACCTGATTATCTGTGGAATGATGTTACAGGCACGGTACTGATGATTGAGATTGCTTGTTTCTGTTTTTCTAACAGTTATAAATTCCATTCTTAATGACCTGTATACTGATTGTTTATATGAGAAAAACCAGAGTGATTGGAATTGTGTTACCTGATACTATTTCTCAGTGTGTAGTAAGTGCATAAGTAACTAAAGATCATGAGTAAGAAAGAACCATGGCAAAGATGATAGATAGCTGCTCATATTTAGTAATGTCCCATGAATAATAAAATAATGAATGATAACATATGCCTTCGCCTTCCAGTCTATACTTAAACTTGATTCTCTGCATACATCTGCAGGTTATTAAGTATCTCCAAAGGCACTTTTCAAAAATTTACTGGATTTCCTTAGTACACTTGGGGAAGGCACACTGCCTGTCTCCACCATAGGGCTGAATTACCTTATTGCCTTGAAATCCCTTTGGGCCTGGGTCCCCTGGAGGTCCACCAATGCCCTGCTCCAAGATGAAAACCAAGAATTAGTTCTGTGTCCAGAAGGCCAACCAAGAACAAATCATTCCTCTGGCTTCCTGGGGATCCTGGTGGCAGTGGTCAGACTATATAGCTCAGAGCTATGTTGAGATCACATTCAAATGAGAACCTACTTGCATGGCATAAAACTCCTTGAGTCAGTACAAACTCAAGCAGACAAAACCCCAGCACAGAATTGTGGAAATGGTCAACAAGCCCCAGTCTTAGTCGAAGAATTATTGGCAGCTGATTACTGCTGGGTGAGGAAGAGCTGATCTTAAAGGGAGGGACTCTACAAAGGCTACCTAGTAGATAGACTTGCACTGAGGGATGTCTGAGGACACTAACTTGACACAAGAGACCTTAACACAAATGACAGAATGTATGAATTCCAGTGGGGTGGGGGGCTATAGGAGGGTGCCAGTGAGGAAGGGGGCTATGGGAGCGTTCCAGTGAGGAAGAGTGATTAAGATGTTCTATATGAAATACACAAAAATTCAATAAAAAATTTTCAATAATCCCCCCTTGAATCAAATAAATAGCTTCTAAAATAGCAGTTATGCTGAGAACAAGCATCTTTGTAATGAGGTGTTTGCTTTCTAAACCTGTTTCTAATTATCTTCTCCCTGTATTGTACTCTTTTTTTTCTATTAAACAACTTTTAAAATATCTCAGGCAGATAACTGAAAACTTGCAATGTGCTTGCATGGCTAGTTACTGCCTCACTCTGACAATTCTAGGCCAAAGCAAAGAATTAGTTAACTAGACACAGCCCAGGAATTCTTTCAAAGGATAACTTTCAGCATACTTTTGTTGGGGTGGGGTGTATTTGTCTGGCTTGTTGTTTTGGTTTGGTTTTGTGGTGCTGAGGCTTGAGCCCAGGGCCTTGTACATGCTAGGCAACCACTGAGCTATATCCCTTAGCCCTTTAGGAGACTTTTTGAAATGCTGAAATTAATTTTTCATGCATATCTGCATCCAGTGTAACTTTAGTAGAGATAAATCTCTATACTGGGAAAATCGACTCCAATTATTTTCTAAACTCCATAGGATATGTCTAAGTTAAATAAATGCTTTAAAGAATCATTCCATATTTTCAAGCACTAACTACTTTTACTGGTGGAATAATAAAATATTATACTTTAGATAAAAACCCACAACTCTTATAAAGTACAACAATAGCTACATCCTTCTCATAACTACCTTAACTTTCTCCATCTAAATTATTTTCTATTTCCTTAGCTATTGATTAGATGGAATTACCAGGTATACTGATCAGGTACCTATTGATACCTATATTTAGGAAGCCTGAGTTAATCAAAACATTAGGAAAGTAACTTCCAAACTTGGTTATATACTGAAATCATGGGAATCTTTAAAAGATATTGATGTCTGGCTCCAATTCCTAGACATTTTGATTTATTAGAGAGGGTGCAAATAGGCCAAGGGTGTTGTTTCTTTTTAAGCTCCTGAGGTAATTCTGGTTCAAACTTAGATTTGGTCTTAGTTTCCTTACCTGAAGTCCCCTGGGTCCCTTTGGTCCATATGGCCCTGGAGATCCCTGTGGAATAAAATTAATGTTAAGTCATTCTAAATATATATCTCCGAACTGCAGAGGCTTTAGATTCAGTGAATGTATTCTGAGTAATAGCCAATCTTCCCTGGTTATTCAAACTTCAAAGATGACAAATTGAAATGATCCTAACTAATAAGAAACCTCAGGGTCAAACTTGCTTCAATAAATAAACTCTAAGAAAATTCAATTTTAAATGTTAGTCTTTAGCCTGTATGTTGAAACTTCATTCAGATTAAAGAAATGGCTTAATAAAGTTCCTTAGAATATTCTATCAAGTTTAAAATTTCTATGGTTGGTAAAATATTGTTTTCCTCCAACAAGGCGAAGTCACTGAATCAATGACAGCTGCACTGCCCTTCCCACCTTGGAATTTGGCAAAACACTTTATAATTCAATAATCTTCTAACATTTCAGTAAGTTCCATAACTCAGAATCCCTTCACAATATATTTTATGGAACTATGATATAGTCTAGGTTTTCTTTTCCTAGATTTCTACATTTTATTCAAATTATTCAAGAAAAGGCACCTATCATAATTTGCTTACTCATTCTCTAGTTCTGACACTAAAGTACTTTTAATGATTGTTATTTAAAATAATACTATAATAAACATGTGTGTTTTCATTTTGTCCAGTTCTGATTCGTCACTAAGGATGGCTTCCTAGAAAATGACTTATAAAGCAGAGACCATGAACACGTTGAATGTTCACTTTCCTTCGCCTCTCATACACAATGCTGTATAAGTATGGAAAGCAACTTGGTGAATAATGTTTACCAAGCATGATTATTACCTGAATAAAAAAAATATTTTTATCTTATGGAGTATTCATAAAGATTAAGTATCATTTGTTACTTTGGTGCTTGCTAATTTGATAGGTAATATAATATGCTAATGGCTTCATTTCAATTCTCTGATTGTAAGCATATATGATTTTTTCTCTTGTATTAGCCACTTATAGTTCTTCTTTTCTGTCTTAATGTTCTTCATGCATTTTCTTCTAAGTTTCTGTAAATTCTTCATATCAGGATGTTGTGTTTTATTGACTCTAATATGTACATATGTTCATATTTTTTATATCTCTGACACTGACTTATACTTAAAATCAATAACATATTGCACTACAATTGTAATGTTTTCCTTTGGGCACAAAAAATAGTAAAGCATTTAACAATATCTGACATCTTAGTCAATGAAATATATTAATTATTTCTCAAACATTTTAATCTCACACTTTCCCAAGCATCTGATTTTCATTTCTGTTCTAGTCCATGTATTCATCCTTCTATATATGCAAGCCCCATGTCCATTTCCCATTTTTAATTGTCCTCTGAGAAGAATGCAGTCATTGTCACACTCTAATCTGCCCAGAGATAATCATCAGCCTAGATTTTGTAGATCCACCTGACCTACAACTCTATAGTAGTTTAAAAGCTTCTAAGAAATCTGAAGCTACTTAAAGTGTTTGTTTCCACAGGCCAGGGTCATTATCTTATCTTCTTTCAAACTTCTGCTTTATTTTCTGTCAACAGCTTCTATGAATATAACACAGAAATTGTAATTTCATTATCTTGGTGACCTTCACAGTGAATAGTTCTTAACCACGGTGGCAACTGTTTTTATTCTATGTCTTTTTTGGTGGTCTTTGTCATTATATTTTTAGATATTCTTTCTATATAGTTTTGGTCTATGAAGAAAGTCTTTAACATGCTGAATATGTCTCCCCTTTAAATTCTTTATCCATGTTTATATTTACCTAACTGTGAAATATATACCATTGTTTGTCTTGCAGCACTTTCTAAATTTTAAGCCCCCATGTCTAGTTCTGCCACATTGATTTCAATGGTTTCACTAACTTGACAGAGTTTTTCACTCTTCTTTGTAAGGTCGAATCAGAAGGCAATTCTAGTGCATCCACTTGGACCATGAAGTGACTTCATTGATTATTCTTTTCACCATAAAGTTTAGTAGAACTGACCTGAAAGGCCAGGATGTCATAAAACAGCCTTAATGGTCTATAAGAAAGGCATGTGGGACCTCCATTAAGTAGGTCAGGTATTCTTTGGTTTTCTACTTCATGTTTTACAGATGTGAAAACTGAGCTCCAGGCCTAAGAGTGAGAAATCCACATAATTCATGCCAGGAATTTTTTTTTTTAAGGAAGCTAAACCTGAAAGGGATCACAGCTGCTAACACTTTAAAAACATGTCCCTTACTTTGTCACCTTTCATTCCTGGTTTTCCACATTCTCCACGTTCACCCTAAAAATAAAAATAAACAAATATAAATAAATAAACAGTCCTTCAATATTCATATTTTTAAAAAGAATTTCAGTATAATCTTATAACAAAAACATTCTACACAAGTTCTGCACCATATCATCTTCGAAACCTAGAGTCCTATATTTTTCACAATGCTATGTTCCAGTCCAAAAAACAACTTTGTTCAGTTAGCAGCATCCACATAGAAAACTGTGAAAGTGTCTAAGGCTAGGTTGTGTCATGACTGGGGAAGGAAGCCATGATTAATTAGCAAGGTCCTCTAGGAAAAAAATGGGGCACAATAGTGAGCATGCTATGTAATGTTTTATTATTGCATTCTACTGTACTATCTTCCCTAATATATTATAATAAAAGCTAACATTAAAATATGATTTGAAGTTTATAATGGTACTTTGTAAATACCACCTGACATGCATTACCTTAGATAAATATTAGCCTAATTTTATAGACTGAACATTTGTGTTTCAAAAAAGTTAAGAAAATGTGATATAGAGAGAGCTACAGATGAATATAACTGAATATTATTCAGTTTGTAAGAAGGAAATCTGAATTCCAACAACATGGACTAACCTAGAAGGACATACATTGACATAATGCAAATACAAGGACAAATGCTCCCCTGATTACACTTGTATGTAGACTCTAAACAAATTGAACTCAAAGAAATAGAGAGTAGAATTATGGTCGTCAGGAACACATTTAAGTTAGATGAGAGCAATTAATTCAAGAACTCTATTGTAAAACATGGGAATACAGTTAATTAATATTTTATTTTTGATCATTAAAAGAATAAAGTTTTCTAGGCATGGTGGTGCATGCCTGTAGTCCCAGCACTTGGGAGGCAGAGGCAGGTGGATCTTTGAGAGTTCAAGGCCAGCCTGAAAAAAAAAAAAGAAAATTTAAGCATTCTCACTATAAGAAATGATAAATATAGGGCTAGAGAGATGGCTCAACAGTTAAGAGTACTGGCTGTTCTTGCAGAGGAGCCAGGTTCAGTTCCTAGCACCCATATGGCAGCTTACAACCATCTGTAACTCCAGTTCCAGGTGATCCAACGCCCTCTTCTGAACTCCACAGGTGCATTTACATACATGCAGGCAATACATTCATACACATAAAATAAAAAATAAATAAAATGTTTTTAAAAGAAACAATAAATATGTGAGGTAATATATAGATTAATGAGCTCTATTTAACCATTTTACAATGTATACAAATTTTAAAGCATCATATTATGCACACAGATATAATCTTCATTAGTTAAAATTAAAATAAAGATAAATGTTTGTTTTTTGAAAGGCTAAACAGCTTGTTCAGGTAAAATGAGAACTGTGACCTCTGAAACATAATCCTTCTATCAGACTTTTCAAACTTCTAGTAATTGGAACTAAAAAGTAACAGCAAATTAGACAAAGAGAACTCATTTCCTAAATCATAATATTAACATCTGTTATTAATAAAACTCTTTAGCAACTTAAAATGCTTTCATGTGTATTCTTATTCTGGCCCTAAATCAATACTTATTACTAAGGTAAGGAAACTTAATTGGAGGTTAATAACTTACTTGTACACGCTAGCCCATGGTTAGCCCTTAATTTCTGCTTCTGTTGTGATGTATTATCTATATGCTGCTCTGGCACATGGTACTCAATGTGCACTGCACAATGGCATATGGAAATTGCATACGGAATATAATGTAATTCAATACATTGCTTCCTGTATTGAAGAAGTCATGCTATAAAAAATAAACAGCTTAAATCCCAGTGTTTTTAGTAATACAGTATACTACATTGTACTAAATACAGCATGAGTCCTGTATTTTGCATTACAATAGATTTATATTCTTTTTTAATGAGCTAATAAAATTTCATATAACATTTTCTACTCAAATCCAGACTCCCTCCCCCATCCATGCCTCCCCCATCTCCCCACCGAAAAGTTTTATCTCATTTCATAAAACCAGCCAAAGAGACAGCCAGCCCCCTGACCACACTTTCAATAGTGCTGCTGTAAGGGAATAAATAGCCTAATATTCACCAGTTATGGGTGCAAAGTGTGTGTGCCAGAGCCTTTCCATGATTCTATATATGCTCTAATTATCTATAGGGAATATGAGAGATTATATTGCTTTCTCATGACTACAAACTTGAGTGTTGGACCTCCAGGTCCGTGTTATTAATCACTCATAGCTGAACAAGGCACACTGTCATGGGCCATAAGTTACTCTCCAATAATCTGACTCTCTACTAGGACACTGTTTAGGCTCTTGCTAGCATCAGGAGCAAGAGAGAGGAAGAGTGAAGTTCTTACTGCTGGCTATGCCTCTGCTCAAAAGCGATTTGTTTTCTCCACATCTTGTGAGCCAAACTGACCCAGGAAAAACTGAATTTTCACTTAGAACAAGTTGAACATTTATTTCCAAATGCAAGTGGAAAAAATCACTCTTAAAATCTCAATTAGAAAGCAATTAATTTCCTAATATTGGATGAGAACAAAATGAGTCAACCACCAAAATATAAAACAGAAAAGCACCATAAATACACTCAAAATTCTTTTGGCCAGAATTCACATTCCATTTGTCCCCAGACAGATTTGTTAGTAATAGGGTCCTAAGGAACAGCATTTGTTTTGCGGACAGATTTCCATCAATTAAAATATTGTCTTCATTATATTTGCCTCAGCAAAGACATTTTCTGTTTTTGGTATGTCCATGAATGCCTTTGGAATGACCACAGTTAAAGTTCTAGAGAGCAAGTGACTCAGGGAGCTCTGAACAGACCTGCTCTGACCCAGTCTCAAATTTCTAACGCTGTGTTTCCTGGTGAAATCCTGGTCAGAATGTCAGGAGATTGGAGCCACTTTGCTCTGACAGCTTGTATTTTCCAAGCAAGAATTCTAGTAAGTTCACAATTCTGCATTAGGTTAAACCAATCTTTTCATATATGTATAACATATGTCATGTGTTTATAATGTATGAAAATATATATAATTCTTTAAAAGAAGATGAAGAGGACATCCGTAAATTTTCCTCAACTATATATAGGATAATTTTATAATCATTAAATTTTTTAATTTTCACAAATAGCCATTTTATTAATATCTGTTCCTTGCTTCTTCATAAAGCACCTTACAATTATAGACCAGCAAACAGTTCACAATACATTATCATACCCATTATTCCATTTGATTCTCCAATAACCATGTAAATCCCACAGGCCTGTATTAATGTAGTTCCATGTAGAAAAAAAAATCACTCTGATATCTTGAGATGCATATTTTTATAGATGCTAAGTTCAGCAACATGGAAAGTCTCAGACTTCTCCCCCTCAGGCTTAACAATGATGGGGGCCAATTTATTGGCCTATGCATAGGCTCACCCCTCATATTTGCAAGGGCCAGATGTAAAGAGTACAAGCAATAGCCCACATGTACATGTCTAGATAGTTAAACGTTGTAAATCAAACTAAGAAACTAATAATGTTCTGGCTCCCTCCTTGAAAAATACACTTTCAAAAAGAATAAAGGAGAATGGAGAAGAAGCTCTGGGGGTAGAGTGCTTGCTTGGTATGCATGAAGTTCTGGGTTCAATCACCAGCACCATACAAACTGGGAGCAGTGGTACACACCTATATTCCCTGCACTCAAGAAGTTGAGGCAGGAGGATCATAAGTTCAGGGTCATCCTCAGCCACATAGTAAGTTGGAGGTCAGCCTGGGATACATGAGTCTCTGTTACAGAAAACAAACAAGTAGCAGCAACAAAATGATGCCTCACATGTCCATGCAGCCCTCTGCTCAAAGCCTGAAGCCCATAATTTCCTATAGCTTGCTTCTTCCATAGAAGAGGACCTGTGAGCCTTCAGAGGCCCAGCAGAACAAGAGCACTTCCTGAGTGATCTTCACTCCCCCAACAGACAGCCACCACTAAGTCCCTTTTCAGGCTGAAGAAGACAGATATGGAAAAGAAGCTTCCGTTAGCCCTCCAAGCAGGCTTCAGCCATTTTTCAGGAACTCCTGAGCTCTTGGCTACCGAATCTATAAGACAGCACAAGTTTCATACCAACAAACTCCTGATTCATGGGAAATGGGGAGGCCAAAGGATACCTAGAATATAATCCACTGAAAGTGCAGGTCTTTGCCCAGGTCTGATGGCCTTGCTACCTGTAGGACAGAATGGATGATAGGATAGGAGTATGTTCTGACTTCAGACAGAAACGGCACTCAGAGAGAGAACTCTGGCACAGATGTATCAATGAACCATTGAGTTTGCTCAGAGGTTCCTGAGCCAAGTTCAACTTGTTAATTTATTTTTTTAATATTTTGTTTATTTTTTATCTTTTATGTGTATGTAAGTGCACCCATGTCATGCAACACCCACAGAGGTCAGAAGAGGATGTTGGGTCCCCTGGAACTGAAGTTACAGATAGTTGTTAGCCACCATGTGGGTGTTGGGATTCGAACCTGGGTCTTCTGCAAGAACAGCTACTGTCTTAACTGCTGAGCCATCTCTCCAGCCCCTGTAATTTCTTTTGAAGCACTTAAATTTTCTAACTTGTAATTTACAAATAATCATGAAATTAAGTACCAACTCATGCCTTTTGTTTGCTTCTTTGTCAAATGTATTCCCTCTGCAAACTCTTAGTCAGGTGTCTGACTCATTGAGGTCAGTGGTTCTGTCCTGCTTAGCCAGGATCAACCCTCAACCATGGAAGAGGGTCAGGAATCTAGGCTTTCATAGAAGTGAAGAAATAAGACAAAGGCTACTGCAAGTATTGCCATGTTTGTTTGCACAGAGATTTCCATCTGAAAGCCTGTGATACTTTTGTCAAATTATAGTTTTCTACTGAAAAACTTCATGTTTGTAGCATTGGAGGAAGTTAGAATCTTAGGGGGCCTCCACCCTTTACAACACATAGCCTTATCTTACATTTCATTATTAGTCTATGTTAGCAGGCTTAAGAGTGTACTTAGGAATGAGGGAATTGGCACTTTGTAAAAAGAAAAGAATACTAAGTATATAAATATACTGGTTTTGTTTTTCTTTTTAAAAGTCTGGTCTATTTGTTGTTATCAACTTACCTTGTCACCCTTATACCCAGGAATTCCCTGTTTAAAAAAGAAATCAAACAGTAAAAGAAGATTATTATAAAATGGAGTGAGAGGAAGTATTAGATATTTTTCACTCCTATAACAAAAACACATCTACAGAGTCTTAGAAATAAGACCACATACCTGCAAATTATCTCACATCTCCATGAGCTGGGAATATGTATTTAATAAGGAGAAGAAAGAACCTATTTTCCCTGTTACAGTCCATTCTCAGTTCCAGGTTTCTCTATCAAATCCAATTTCTTACCCTTTGGCCCAAAGCAGAAGGAGAGAATGTACACTGAAAGTCATTGTGGCCATGACAACCTATAACGGTGCTTTCAAAATTGTTATACTGACTTTTAAACTGTAAGCTATTGCAGCTGAGAATGTTTCCCAGACTGAGTTAGAGAAATTGGCTTTTGAATGAACTCAGATAATGGCCCTTAGAATATTCATAAATATCTGTGTTCATCATGGTCCTCCTTTCAAATTCAGTCTAGAATACACAGAGTCAAGGAGATGAATGGTTCCTCTATCAGCCCTAACAAGACAGTGCCCTTTGAGTGACTGACTTTTATCTCATGCTAAGTGAGGAGCCAGCACCTCTGCTTTCTTCTGAGTCATTCATGGGAATCCTGCAAAGCCCTTTCCACTGCGTCAAAGGGATTCAATGCTGGATAGTGAACAGACTGGGAAACTGCCAACTCTAAGAAACAGCAAGGCTTTTCCAAATGGCATGCCACATCTTTTTCCTCAAGCTATATTTTTCAAGGATAAAATGGAGTTATAAGGCATATTTAATAGAAGCTGATGAAACTAATGGCATAAACAAGCTAATACTGCACTTACACATCAGACTAAAAAATTTTGTCTCATCTCATGTGTAATTTTTTTTCATATGAAACTTGATAAAGGAAATAATAGTTCTTTCTAGATGAATGGACACTGAGGAATGGAAGATAAAAGTAGAATTAGTTAAAGATAGGTTGAAAGTAAAATGTAATCCAGTTTTAGAAATACTTGTTCACATGAATTAATTTTTAGGACTGCATTCAAAATTGAAGTCCACATCATATTTAGTTAAGTTGGGATTCCATATTTGTAGTACCAAGAAAGTCTAGGCTTCTAATTCCAGGTCACTCACAGTACCCTCCACCCATATACACAGCGATCTTTAAAATTCTGCAGAAGGAAATAAATTGGGTTTTGGAAAGAACCAGTCCAGCTGTGCAGAAACAAAAGGATATGACTCTTCACAGTATGTTTTCCTGCTTTCTTTCTGAAATCCTTAGTCAATTTATCAGTTGGTTGCTATATCAGGTTCTTTCTCTTATTATTTCTTCTTTCTGGGACATCTTAATCACTGGTTTTAAAATATCCAAACTTAAAATATCCAAAATTGCACTTCTCAGTGTCTGCCAAATTTGTTTCTGATGTTAACTTTTTAAATTTTTGACTTATTTGTTTTTATTTTATGCATCTGAGTGTTTTGCCTGCATGCATATATGTGCACCCATGCATACAATACCCACAAAGACTAGAAGAGTGTGTCAATACCTGTAGAACTGGAGTTATGGACAGTTGTTAGTCATCATGTGGGTGCTGAGAACTGAACCCAGGTCCACTGCAAGAGCAGCCAGTGCTCTTAACCACTGAGCCATCTCTCCAGTCCCTTTTTCTGATATGCTTATTTCTACTAATCATATTTCAAATTCCATGGTCAAAATTTCTAATCATCTTAGTTTTTCTCTCTCACCTCTTTGTTCCCACTCCAAACTCCTCTTTAGATTAATCTTCCTGATACACAGCTTTTGTGTCATTTGCCTCATCTCAAATTCCAGGGGCTTCCTATCACCTAGGAAAACCCAGTTCCTAAGGCCAGCATTGGGTGTCTAGAAGACAGCTAAGAAATGCCTCCTGAACAAACAGCACAACTTCAGAACAAATTCCAATTGACAATATCCTGATTTCTCTCAGCATTTTTCATAGTGTTAATTGAAAACACTAAGAGAACAGCTTTTTAAAGCTCTAAGCTCATTTTCGAGGGACTAAGCAGGGAGGTGTAGCACAGAACAGCCTCCTGTTTTTCATTCTGTGCAATGTGATTTGCTACTCTTGCTGCAATGCCCAAGAAAATGCAAAATTTTTAAAAATGTTCTATAATTGTTTTTCAAACAGTCTCAAGAAATCAGGTTAAAATAATGTGTTATTTTGTCTATAGAACCAGACTGGCAAAAGCATAGTTTAGATAATGTGATTCTTACACTTGTAAAATTCCAACTTATTCTTCATCTCAAAAAACCACAAGAAGTAAAGCAAAACACTTTTCTCATTTGAGTCTTTCATAAATGTCCAGTTAAGCATCAATGAATGCCATAGGTCCTATCAATACTCCTGTGGAATACAGTATCTTTTCCCTATAGTTCTACTTCTGAAACCACATCTGTTCGATTGCCTGTCTGAGCCCTCAAGAGCATAGGTAGACAGAAATCAATTTTGCACTTGTACTGCAGAGGTCAAAAGAGTAAGTCACAGAATCTTAGCATCCCAGGATCACTTCGGCAGGAAGGCATTCCAGTACTGCACATACCCCAGGACCTCTTTCTCCAGTTTCTCCTTTCTGAGCATCACCCTGTAACACATAAGAAACTCAGTCAACATTCTACAACACTGCAGAGCAATTGATTGCTCAATAAAATGTGTTATTCCCAGATTAACAGGTTAACCCAATTAAAGGAGAATCTTGGGCTTTTACCATTCACATTTTCTCCATGCAATCTTGAGAAGAAAACAGAAGCTCAAATAAAGTTTGGCCGTTTGGAGTGAAGCCAGGTGTTCAGGGTGTAGAATTCAGATAGATTTTCACAACTTCGGCCACATTCCAGTTAACAACATGGCTGTTTTTCTCAAATGTAGCACTGTTTCTGGAGCAGGACACCCTGGCTTCTTTCCAACAGGCCATGGAATGTTTTCTAAATGTCTCTAAATAGTGATTGATTGATTTCAGCAGCATTTAAGAAAATAAATTATGGGGCACAAAATTACAAACCAAAGTAATGAAACGTGAATATTGCCTTATGGCAGATATTTTTTTCCAACAAAAGAAAGTGTAATAGCATCAGGGACCAGCAGAAGATAAGTGGATATGAATGCAGGGTGCTGAGAGTGGTCTAAGAATGCTCCACATTCCCTTTCCTAGGCCAGCAGGCTATTACCAAGTATGTTCACATATATAATGTTATATGTTTATCTTCCTAAAAATATTCTTAGAAATATGACTGAGTTCAAGGTTAACTGTGTGAATGCCTTTTCTGTATTGCCTAATTGCTTCCCAAAGTGTTTGTGCCAAGTTATCTTTGTAGTGGAGAGCAAGCGCTTCACAAATCACTGTCACCAGTCATTATTATTTAAAATTGAGTCTTTAATTGCTACAAGAAAACAACTATTTCTTGAAGTTTGAAATACACACACCCCAAAGCTGGTCTTATTTAATTTGGTCCATTATCATTTAAGTAATGTTTTCTACTTATTCAATGTCATCAGGTTTTCTAGCTTTATTGACCAAAATATAAATATTTAAAATTAGCAAATTAAAGTTAACACAAAAAAGGCACATATTACAGGAAGCAAACATCCTGTGTTCTTCACAAAAGCCACCTGTCATATTCTATAATGGTCTCTGTTTTTTTTCATTCTTGTTCTCTAAATAAATATGAGACATATTAGAGTCAAGGAAAATTGTTTATTCATTTACCGGATTTCCTTTGGGTCCCCGCTCACCTTTGATACCTGGGTTTCCATGTGTACCCTACAAGCAAATGGAGAAGATTATTTTTATCAAGTATTCTATCAGTTTTTATGCTCTGGAATAATTTTTGATTAGTTGTATCTCAGAATCAGAGAATATTATAAAGCTTTCACCAGCCAGGCAGAGATTCAAATCTTTCCTCCCCTTTACCATGCTGGGAAAACCTGCACTGCCTTGAATGTGAAGATTTTGTGGGTTTTCTCAAAAGAGGGTAAAGTCTGCCTGCCCAACTATAACTCCCTCCCCAAACAATTACTTCTCATCTATTTTCCAAACAAAACGTAACTCATGTAAAAGTTTAAAAGCCTGAATGGACAGAGGCAGTGGGAGTACTGCCCTTCATTCATTATGGACCACGACCAAGCCAGCTTGCTAGATTGTGGTCAAAGAGGTTCTGATATCTAGGAGACAATCTCCAGGGATAGGAGAAGGGAACTCTCCAGTAGCATTCTAAAAGCCAGCAAAAAGCTAGTTTACCTGATAACTGGATTTGAGGGCACTAAATAAACATTAAATTAATGGTTTACTACTATGAAGACATAGCAATATTGAATAATTGGAATTGTCAGTTTAGGTCATGATAGTAAGCCTTCTTCCTGTCACTGTTCTTGTTAAAACATAATCGGATATCCCTTTCCCTGGCAATCTCTTAGCATAATAAGCTAGACAAAATCTTTATAAGAAAGGAAAGTTAATTTTGCTTTAGTTGAAGTCAGTTTCATCATGCGATGGATCTAATTTGTATTTTGTGAGAAACAAAGTCACACTCTCTAATGCCTGATTGGTAGAGTTTATTTGGGAAAAGCGTTGACTCTGGCCTCAAATCTCAAGTTAAAATGTGTCACATTCTAATACACTCATACTCTTGTCGCCACCCAAAATACAAGTGCTATTTCAAAAATGCCATCCATGTGTTTCGTGAAACATACCTCCAGGCTTCCAAACTCTAATGACAAGGTCTGGAATCACATACAGAAGTGAAAACCTGAATGAGCCCTGTAGATCCGTCTTGAGCTATAGTCAGAGGTGAATCAACACTGTGAATCTGAGCACTGCCCTTCAGTTGTCCTGTGATTACTTGCATTTCACAGAATTTAACTAATTCCTGGAAGCATCTCAACCAGCTTCCTCTCTGTGAGCTACTGCATTGCTGGATTCCTGTGAAGGTAACAGCTTCCTGAAGGGCTGTGTCATTTCTTTCCAGCGAGATAAAGCATTGCTTAAACCCACCTATGAATTACATTACCTCTTTCTATATTTTTACCTCATTGTGGAGAAATTCTGGCTCTACTTATCAAATAAAGAATGACACTGAAAAACCTTTTCTAAAAAGTTTTGTCATCTTCATTAACTCTAAATTTAACATAGATGTCTACTCACAGGAGGCCCTGGGTCACCTGGATCTCCTTTCTCACATTCACAGATCTTGTGTTCACACTGAATCAGCAAGAAACACTATATTAGTACACAGTGAAATACAGCAGACTAACATGACAAATATTATCTAGTATACAACTAACTGAAACACTTCCTTGAAGAAAGTTTCTCTGTATATTAAATTTTTCCAGGCAAACTCTGGATAAGTAAGAGTAAGCTACTGAAGTATTATTAAGTTTTTCCATGCTTAAATAAAATAAATAATATGTATAGAGAAACATTATGTAATATACATGAATATGTATGTATACAGAGAGACTGATTAAAATAGGAAAAGAAGCATTTTCAGTGGAGTTTCAGAACTTTTACTCATTCTCTTCTGTAGAACATATGGAAGCTCAACAATGTTAATACTAATTTCCCCTTACTCAGCAAAAGGAAACATGATTTGAATCATATTTTATCAATTGCAAGATGTACATTTGTCTTTATTTTAACATCTCTGAAATCAGAATGGTTTTACAATAGCTGCCAAACAGGCTTAAACCTGACAAAGTAGCTATTTTCTATGGGTACCTTCAAAACTTACAGAATGAAATGGCGGAAAATTCCAGACATATTTGACAACTGCTATGAAACAGTGCTTTCTATGCTACAAACTGTCTAGTTCGGGAGTCCTTGGCAAACTCATAGTCACCTATTGTGCTAAGTCCCAGTGGATCACTACTAGTCAGCTTCGTTTGCCATGTGCTGTGGTTACTCTCATCTGGCTCAGTTTCTTCAAAATAGGAAGGCAAATCAATTTAAAATCAGCCAGCAGCCAGCGGCATTAGCCTGGTTCTAGCCAATACCAGAAACACCTCCAGAAATTGAAGAACCCCACAAGCAGCTACTGTGGGCTATATGCTTAGAATAACAAAATCTGTCTCAAAGGAAATAAAAACTATGTCGTTTGGAAACCACTGATTTCTAAAATCAATCCCTCAAGTCATATTAAATATTTTCTACTTTTTCTAAAATTTTCCAGCCTAGAGTTGGGATATGAGGGCAAAAAATGTGTTTGTGCCAGACATGGTGGCTCACACTTACAGTCCCAGGACTTGGGAGGCTGAAGCAGGAAAGTGATGTCAGTCCAGGCCAGCATGGGCTGCAAAGTGAGCTTGAGGCTAGCCTAGAATAAACAGAAAGACCCTGTCTAAAAAAAAAAAAAAAAAAAAAAAGAAATCACATGGCTGCCTCAAAATAGAGTGGCTCACTTTAAAAAGAATTAAGCATTTTTATTTAGCCACACCTGATGTGAATTACAATGTTGATTTGATAATGCAAGCTTTAGAGTAATTCATAGTAATCAAGCATGCAGTGCTTACCTTCTTTTCAAATAAGATATCCTACAAGAGAAAAAAGAATGAAACATTAACTCAATTAATGGTTCTGCTTCCAACTTCTTATTAGTTTTAATTATTCCCTATGGGATATGCAATTTCAAAGAATAGCAATTCAGTCTTTTTAATCTTGTAAAAGCAATAAAGCCTGAGTCACGGAATAAGAGGAGACATGAAGGGCATGAAATTAAAAATTACTTTGTGTTTCTAGGAACTTTAACCTACCACAACCTATGTTTTATCTTTTGTTTCTTTGCTCATTTCTATAATCTCCATAAGAGTTGGCTTCAAGCATAATCAGTCATGAGGAGAAACTTCTCACTTTTATTTACAAAGACTTAAGCAGACACATAATTTTATATTTTATTTTTTCCAGCCTTATACATATGTGCATTTGTTTTTCTTCATTAAAACTCAAATTTTGTAATCATCATTTTATGAAATTGTTGGTAGACCTTAGAAAAGTGTACTAAAACTCAAAAACAACACCTGGGGGCATTTTTGAGATGATCTGAACTACGTGAAGACAATTCCCATTATTGTGTTCAGGAGAAAGAGTTTTCTACTCTAACTTTTAAAAGCCTCAAATATAATATTGTATTTATAAAAGTTCAACATAAGGAAAATAGATACAACTTTTAAATCCTAATGGTATTAAAAACAATATTGCATAAAAATTTGTACGTTTCATAGCAATTCATATGTATTACTTATATAAGAAAACTACATAACTATATTTATAGTTTGATACCTTTAGGGGAAAATAATTGAATGATGAAAAAATAGTATATCTCCCATGATAAAAGTATTATTATAAATATATATGTATCTATAGCATCATATATATTGCTTTATGTGTGTCTAAGATGTCAACGCTCTTAATCTCTGGCTTTATAAGAAGGAAACATGGTACCACCATTTTGTGACTTGGCTGAGGTCACACACTGGGGTTGAAATCTCCACTGTCTTCAGTGGTACTTCATGCTTACTCACAAAGGAGAATTACAAAAATATTTCCCAAGGCTATGTTAAACTGATAGAAATGTCACAGTCTAGTTTTGCCCCACACATAGGCCTCACTACTGTCCTTCAGCTCACTGTGATATTCTGCCAAGCCCTCTGAAGGCCATGTAGGAAGACAAGCAGGGGAAAGAAATGAACATATTTTAACCAAGATGGAGAGCACTTCCTAGAGAAAGAGATTATGTGTACAACTAGTGCCTTTCAATCTGCAAGGATAATGTACATAGGATAATATAGGAAATGGGGAAAGGCACGGGAGCATCTGTCCTGTATTAAAAAGAAAGAAAGAGCTAAGGAGAAAATCAAAGTCAGAGCGCAAGCCTTTAAGGAAACTGTGCTCTTAGTTCTCTTTTCACTGTCTTTGTTTTTATACACTAATAACAAAGAGGGAGGAGATAGCAAAATGCTTTAAGTGACTCTGATGACTAGGAAGGAGGGTGGGACTGGGAATTAAATGTCACCCAGAGTTTTCTTTCTGCTTCAGCCATAACTAGCATGTGGCTTTGGGCCAGTCGTATAATTTTCCCATATAGAAATGGGGGAGGGGGTAATCACATAGTCCCAGAAGTTTTCAAATTGGCCATATATACTACTCTTAAAAGTTAAGAGTCTTGATCTTAACCAGTCTGACTGGGGTAAGGTGAAATCTTAAAGTGGTTTTAATTTGCATTTCCCTGATTATTAGTGATGTTGAACATCTTTTAAGATGTTTCATAGCCATCTTTACTTC